CACGGGGGGGGGGGGTTACTGCTCGGTTCTAGGAATGGTTATCCGAACCCAGTGATTTGGTGTAGCGAGCAACGCAAGATTACAATATGACAGAGTCGCTATTGAAGTGGACGATGGAGAAGATACCTGGCATCGAATGTATTATAAAAATATTGCTTACTTGATCAAAAGTCACTTTACGGGTTATTTTATCTATTGCAAGACTGTACTATACGGTGTTCGGAATGCCCCTGATTTAACTACGAGGCACAATTTCGCATCCAAAACCAACGAAAGCTACCATTTTCCCAGTTTCTTCCTATATTTTTAGACAAAATCCTGGTTTTTTATACTTTAATTCTATGTGAGCGGCCGAGGATTTGATTCAACTTTATTGAAAAATCCTTCGTGTATATAGCAAACGAACCGTAAACTGAAAAGCTAGGAAGCTGTGGATGGCTGTTTCGATTTGGTTGGGTCTCATCAGCACGACAAATTTCCCTTTTGAAATTGAATCCAATCCTCCGTTACTCACATGAAACATATAGTCAGGTTGTGAATGTTTCCAACCGAGTTATAACCCCCGAGGCTAGTGTTAAGATGAGCGAAGTTCGTGGCCCATAACAAGCTTGAAAAGAAATGTTTTTCTATACCGTACCAATGGAAAATGAAAAACAGTCTGATCAGCTGCCCGGTGGCCGAGTGGGTAGCATGCCTATGTTCTGCCTGTGAGTTCCTGCGATCGATCCCCAGTTGGGTCGATGGATTCGCACTGCTGATGAGACCCAACCTGGTCGAAACAGCTGTTCGGTGCTTCTTAGCTTTGCAGTTCTCGTATCATTTGCTATGTACACGACAAATTTTCCCTTTACAGCTTCAATTCCAGACAACTTTCGCCTACTTGAAGGTAAGCTATGGACGAACTTGCGGGAAATGTTAATTCAAACCAAACACCATAGTATGTCATTAGTTTTGTGATGTTGCTGTTAGTTCCCCTTTATTTTAATGGCTATATTATAGTTCCCTTTACTGTTGACACATTGTGGTTATGTTGTTGCTAAATGTCTACCAGTCGGGGTGTATGAAGCGATTCCTTGACCTGGATTGACTTGATCTTCATAAAATGGATTTTGTTTTACCAGTTACTTCAACACCAAAAACAAACAGTCTTGATACCTGTGTTTTTCCGTCTATTTACTTGGGGATTATTTTAGAGTTACTCATTTTCATGAAGATTCACGTTGTATGACTCCGTCGAAAGCATTTCGAATATGACTACCTGTGTTAAAGGAATGATAAAAGTTTATCTGGATACATGGTGCTTTTCTTCGCATGTATGAAGCAAACGAAGTGTGTCGAAAACTCGGAAGCACAGCCTGTTCAACAGTGTCAATCCATCCAGTCCACTGATGGTCGAACCCGGAAGCCTTCAGGTGGAATGCAAATACACCTGATCCCGACGCAGTTGCTCGGACTGTTTCACTTTGTGCACCCAATTAGAAGAAAACTACTTGGGAGTCACAACATTCCTGGGCGGTGAAATTGTATTCGCACAGGTGCATTGTACATACAAGGCGATTAGGTAGTCCTATGACCTGACTGGGCATAATCAGAAACCGGGGGCTCTGAAGTGCAAGTGCAACCATAAAGATGTCATATTAAATCACCTAGATAAATGAGGTTGCAACCTAAACCCATGTGGATTTTTTCGTTGAAAAACTCGAACATTGTCTCCACGATGAACTGAGAACCACAGTTTGTACTTCGGTCGCTTGGTTGTTTGTTTTTATTTCAACGGATTCTATGTGCTGTCCAGTCTTAAAATTTGTCGATAGTGCGGTACATTTAGTTCAACCTTTTAATGTACCATCCACTGAAAAGTATGGATTCCAGCTTAGGCAAGAAGGGTCATTGATGCGAAACATTTCCCCGCTAGAGTTAGCTGGGATGGATCTCGGAAATTTGTTCCACTCATGATTAGGTAATAGAATACCCACCGATCGATATCGGCGGCTTCAATTATTCATTAGCATTTGATGAGATTATAACAAGTTATGTATAATATTACACTTATGTTATGAATTGAACTTTCAAACATTTACTATTCTGACGTTTCCGGAAACTAGCAACCAACCTGCTGATTCCAAAAGCAAACGCCGTACATCGCCATCGGTCAAACCGGTAAATCCTCTCTCTTCCACGTCCTGTTCACTCCAAACGGCACTCCGATGACCAGCATCCAAAGTCATTGGGGTTCGAGATTCCGAAATCTGTGACCGAACGGCAGACATAACTTCTGGTTCCAGCATTGCTGTGTGTTCTACAAAATCACACTAGACAACGGGTACAGTGATCAAGTTGTGAACTGTCAGTCATTCCAAGCAGTGTGCCGTGCTCAACAAACCATGGTTACTGGTGTTGATACTACTGGTCACTCTGACATCAGATATCAAGGAAACAACTGATCAATATAGAAGAACCACAGTGATCAATTAGATGGCACGTGACCGTTTGTCTTCTATCTGCCCATCCCTTTGTGATTCGGTGAATAATCGGTTGACAACACGAAGTGACCATAACAACCGTTGACTGCGCTCGCTAAAGAAAAAGAGAAAGAAACGGAGCAAAGTTAAAAACGAATAATTTTATAACAATGGAATGAAATATATTTTAGAGTGAAGGAGAAAATGTCACGTGATTTTACGCGGTTCACTGGATTGTTTCACTATGGTAAAACAAGAAATACTAACAGTTCGTGGCCATCATTTCGATATGATTAGCACTACGAGACGAGGATGGAACCGCTTTCGGTCTTTGCAGTTGCACAGGCCTATAGAATGCCCACTGAAATCCTGTTGTTGATGTTGTTGTTGATTACGATAATAATGCATTGTGATTCAAGCCTCTTCCCAAGTTAGATAAGGATGGTAAGCTCATCCTGTCAGAAGTAAAGTATTGAATAGCCGAATCATTTGACCGGTTTTACGTAAATCTGTGACGGAAGTCTGATTCTCGTAGATCCTGTCAAATCAGGCCCTGTTCGAAAACTGCTTGTAGACCGCGATGAACCGGTTGCAGAAGTCCTATTTCAACTGTGACGCCGTGTAATAAGTGTGCACAGACTGAAACAACTTATATGTCTCAACGTTTTCTATCACACCTTCGGAAACGATGACTACTGGGAGAGCAAGAGAGCGAGCAGTCTGTGTATGGCAAGGCCAAATGGTTGACCTGATAACCTACAAAATGACCGTGCGGAGATGTTGATGGCCATGTATGTATGAGAACTGTTTCATACACATTCCTATTAGGTTAGCTAGATTGGGGGGGAGCTGAATAAAAATTCTGAAAAAAATCGATAGCAATAAGTCAAAATTGATTATTTTGGTGCCCTACAAATGTGTTGTTATTGTTTTTTTGTTGCTTCGGTTATTGCCGTTGCTGTTTCTAAAGATTACAGATTAGGAAATGATCAATATCATTGATACAAATGGGATTTGTATACACCAAACAAAATCAGTTGTGAATACATGACCAGCATATATCCGTTACAAATTTGTAACTCTCCGGTCTATTCTCTTCTTAGTACTATTAGTAATTATACTCATAAGTTTTCGCCATGGACACAGTTTCTTGTCCTTCCAGTCAAAACTCCCAGGCTGTAAAAGAAAAGGAAACCAGTGACCAAACAAGGGGATTGTCTGGTTCATAGATAACTGTACAATGGAGCTATTCGAACGAGTTTCAGAGGTTTGGATTCCTTGTTTTCAATGCTTATAACGCTCAACAGTACAGAGCAGTGAATGGTAATCATTCAGAGTACAAATCCGCCTCCTTTACTGGGATATCAGTAGAACGTCGATAATCCAAACTGGAATGGAATAGGTTCCTTTACAATAACGCTATTTTATTTGATGCCCATTGGCTACATTAGTCCAAATTACAGGACTTTACCAACCCTACGGTAGAATGGTTGTTGGTTCTCTCAAGGCTTTTTATAATGAAATATGCACATTTTAAAACGAAATCAGAACTGGCTTTTCCATTTTCTCGGCTGTTAATTATAACTGATTTTGATTTTCATAAACTTGGTTGCTTCAACAGATAACGTCAATACTCGGTCAATTAGTAATGCTCCCTTACTAACTCATTTCCAACGCCGTCTTTCCCAATCTATCCTGTTCTGTTCAGCCCCTGTGTAGGCTATAATTCGACATAATTTTGCTGCCTGACATTGTATCTGTTGCAACCAGTACGTTCATAGCACAATCTGAGGGTTGAGATGAATTCGGTGATCGATTGCTATAATTATTCACTGAATGCAATACATCCAGTTATACGGATAGAATAGCTTGCATCTCATGAAATTCGTATATTCAATTACTGACGTAAAACAATGACTCTCGGCTCTGGATTCAAAAGCATCTGGTTGGTAGCTCAGCGGACACCCGGTACCCTTTTACTGGCGTTCTACTGGAGGCGTTAGACCGTTATAAAACCCAACTTCATATACTAAATGATTTTTATTTTCAAGTGCATAACATTTTCATAGGATTTTCAATAGGATCTTTCTCTGAAGCTAAAATCAGCAGTAGGGCGTTTAGAACAAAATGATTTGTAGGCAGAAAGTTCGCTTTTTTAATGACTTCTTCTCCGATGTTTAAATGCAATTTTGCAGTAACGTTGTTACTGCTTTAAAGATGGAGAATAATTTACTTGCCGCTGTTTACTTTCAGGATCACTTTGAGAACTGAAGCGGATCACTGGTACAACCAACCAACATTCCGCATCCATTACTCAAACCAGGCTGGAAAAGTTTGACTGATACTCTAGCGTGTAATGGGACGTAAAATTTGTGAACCCACACGTTCGGACGGAAATAGCTAGTGTCACTGATTTCTATCCGAGATTAGAAATATAATTTTTTCCGCTATTTCTGCTCTGGAAGAACGTGGTTTTAGTACTCATACGTCAAATAGCGATTTGGTCACACCATTCGAGGTGATTGTGTGTCAAATTTGAGTTAGAGTTTTGCTTACTTATGAGTAGTGCACTTCGGAACACTGATCAGAGCACCCTGGAAACAGCGTACGATTGGTGTTTAACGAATTCCACAGGATTTGCCGTAATTCCTTTGACTTCTCTGGTGGTTTTTCAGAATTTTCACATCATTTTGCAGTTCTAAACTTTATTGGTTATCACAAATGCACATAACAACTTTCAGGTTGTGCTTTGGTCCAATCAGAATGATTATCGAATAGCCGGAGTGTGGAACAGTTGAGACAAGACAAATCGGAAAAGACTTATCAAAGAAGGACATGCTCAGGGTCCAGCAGCGGCAAAAGCTGAAAAATTGTGCATTAGGACTGAAATCGCGGAGTTCATGCTGAGTAAGCACCCGAAACACTGCGGTGTAGCTGTGTATTTCTTTTCGCCCGTTTATGGGATTCATAAATCCATCAACCTTAGGCTTCAAATGAAATTAGAAATGAAATTTCTTCTAATGGATAAAAATTAGAATTACTCCGTATCGTAATTATTAATAATAGATAAAATGTATACAAGTAAATATGCTTCAAAAATACTGAAGGAATCGAACAAGCTCCATTATTAGTGGAATTCGAAATGATTTTATCATTCGATTATTTTAGGAAAAATCAAATATTGGATCTAGAATTTGGGGAATCGGAATTTACCCTGCATTCCTGTCAACCTCAGAAGTAGCATTATTTGAATTGATCTTATGTTTCACTTTTCACGACCAGACTCATCCTAGTAAGGGTCTCACATATGCGAGTACATTCGTTACCCGAGTGAGTGAGCGTGGATGCAGGAGCGCTGAAGTTCGACCACTAGCGAATTCCATTAGTTGGAAAAGCTCATCATTTTGAAAGGTTTATCTTTGTAGTATGCCAGACACTGCCCGCATAAGACATCTTTAATTGAGGAATATGTAAACTTCCTATGTTTAGATGTGATTAATGTGATAAATTTCGTCTAACGGTGTTTCGCCAACTGAACTGTTGAATGTCACACCTGAGCAACACACATACCGGTTTAGTTACGCTTGAGCATCAGAGTCAGTTACTGTTAGAGTCAAGTACTGTTCACGTAAAGTACGGTATATCTGAGAATGGACTCGTGAAAGTCACGCAGTCAATCAGCTAGCGAAAGCATTCCCCATGCCATTGTGGCTGAACCCCTTCGAGTAAATTGTAGTGACCATAAGACTGCTGCTCGTCAATGGGGTTGTTTTAGTTCCCACCATCTCTCCAATTGGCGCTCGTAGACCGTGATACAAAATCATAATCGGGGTGTTTGTCCCTCGCCGTCATCGCATATATGTTTGGGTGAAAAGGACAATGTGAATTGTTGGTGTCAATGTAAACGAGTCAGCTGGCCACAGAACTTCTCAGTTTATTGGAGTTGAAAGGGTCTTCGTAAAATGACTGCCGTCCCGGAACGGCCCTGCCGATTGTGTCTTACTCGGGGTTGTTAGAGGTGTATAAACCGAGGCCTTGGCGGGGACCACAAATTTTGCTGCAAAAAGTAAATTAATTGAGGCCGGTTAANCCTTCGTGGCTATATAAAGAGTACGAGACAGATGAAGTGAAACGCAGTCCGAGACGCGACAACCTTATCGCATGAGACTAGAATGCACGCGCTAATCTATGAGACCAGTATCGTCGGCATATTGCGGCAAGTTTGGCCTTGGTCAACACTGCGAAAATAGCGAACGCCTGATCACATTTGCTGACCTTAACCAGCTAATCGTGGCCAAGACCCATTCACAGCGCCCCAGAAGATACCTGCTTATTTGGTACTCGAACNGAACGATGGTCGAACGGCACATCAGATTAATTAAATGTTGATATGTGTTCGTTGGGCTTCTTCAGTGGAAGACTTCCGTTCCTATCTCGTCACAGAAACTGGAAACAACAAAAGGCACGGACCATACCTTTAAAAACGCCCAATTAAAGGTCAATCTTAATGCTCGCCGGAAAGTTCTTCCCCTTGGCAAATTTAACTTTGCTATTTTTAGAAATACCTGAGAAAAGGCAGACGTTACTGGAGGCAACCGCATCCAACAAAGCGCTAGCTTCTGTCGGCGACTCAACTGTTGACACAGTGGTTCACGCTGAAAACGTCAATCAGAGAAGAGGTACTGGGGCAGTTTCACCACAAAAGCAAATGGGCCTTTGAGTGAACATTGCAGTTGTTTGAAAAGAAGAGAGCCGCAGTTGATCAATTATCCTGAATTCCGTGTTCTACTTCACCAATTCACACGCTCCGCTAAGAGAGACCGCGA